TTAAAATACAGTTCACAGGATTACTGAGCACAGGTTATGAGCCCTGGTTCGGAAGAATGCCAAATATTACTTCACATCCTGGACTTTCCCCACTATCTAAAGATACTTGGGAAAAATCTATGAGACTCCAAACTAAGATTAATATCCAGGTAATATACCAAAATCAAGTCACGATTTTTCAAATGAACCAGGAAAACATTACACAGAGTGCAGAACTGAAAGTCATTGTTATTATAATCATCCCAAGAAGCAAACAATACCACTATAATGGCCTAAATAATGTACTTCTAGATACACCATTAAAACATATTCAGAACAATCCATTCAAAGAAATTGATTTATCCTAGAACAATATTTTGGATATTCACAGTGAGGAGTTTGAAAAATCTCTCACCTGAAGCGAGCAGTTAACCAGTTAAATTTTGCTATTTAAGGTCTTTGAGTTTACTTTTCCTTTGCATTAAACTGCTTTAGAACAGTTTGTAAACTGTGTCAGTGCACGAAAAGGACAAAACAGCAAAATAAGTCCGATTAGCTTGTAACTTAAAAGCAGCTATAAATACAGAATGAGCTGAAAACACTACAGAATTGACCAAAGTGATATAAAGAAAAAATCCTCTGTGGACTTTACTGAAATTATCCTTAACATCCATTTAACCAGGATATTTTTCAGTTGGCTATCACAAATGTCTTTCCTTTTTCTGCTTATTTGATTCTCTTGTTCCTTTGTAAACTCCAATTCTCTGGGGGAAAAGACCCTATCCGAAATGCCAATAAATACGTGGCCTGGGGCAGAATTAACTTCTACAGGAGACGCTAGCTTCATCAAGATAGGAAGACTTAAAAACTCAAGACCATCTCTAGGTAGGCCCAACTTGTGGTCCACACCCTTCTTGTTTACAAGTACCTAACCACAGGGCTGTGGAGATTCAGAGAGGATGCTGGTTAGGTGCTAGCAGCTAAAAGCTGGTTCAATTAACCACTGAAAAAGATGACTTCTAATCAAGCCGTTAGGAAGGAACAGTTTACACACCCTTACACGTTGTGCCAGAACTCTGTTCTTGCCCTGAGCTGGAATTCTTCTAATCCAGCATGGGGGAAAAAGGACAACAATGTTTTCACTGATAAATCCACAAAGCACCGGCAGTGGGTGAAGGCCGTTTTGTAGGCTGGACGGGTCTTAGTCTACAGAAGGAACACGGGGCACTACCTGGGTTGAGGACATACACACCAGCTCTTCTCCAGCCGCAAGTGCCCAATCTAGCACTTCCCCTAAAAAGCCCCACTGACCCAGGGCTTGACTTCCTGCTTGCGGACTCCCTCTCCGCAGCTCCTAAGGGCCTACAGGGGGGGCAGGGCTGATCTCAGCTCAGTAAGCACCAACCACAGCAACGTATTAAGGCATTTAAAATGCTTTCTGGTGTTGACAGGATGGCCGTATGACTGTGCCCCACGTTTAACGTAATTTTTTACATTTGTATTTCACAATGGAGAAAACTGCAGTCACAATTACAGACATAATTCAAATGAGTATGGTTGTATGCCTTGGTTCCTACTGGGATTTTACTTTGTAATTAGATGATTAAATTGATGGGCGGGCGAGTTCATTTAAAAAGAATTAAAGAAGTGAACCTTCGAAACTTGGCTTGATTAAATAAAATCCTAAAAGGTCGATTGCGGAGATGTCACTGTGGAGACGTCGCTTACACATGATCAAACCGCAACGGCTCACCATCATCATCCTGGACTAACCCGAGTCCAGCCCAGGGAGGCGCGTCCTCCATCCCCTCTCGGACTCTCCCCACAGTGCACAGGCAAACAAGGTCCTGGCGTCCCTGCCCGGTCAGCGTGCCCAGTTCGCCACCGGGTTTTTGAAAACTGTGCACAAGGGCCACCGCACACAAAACGCAAAACGAAGGGCCTTAACTTGCAAGGCCTGGGTGCGGACCCGCACAGGTCTGCGCTTTCTCGCAAGCTCACGAGCGGAAGGGCCGGGCCCAGCCACCCGCGCCATCGCCCCCAGGTCGCCCGCGAGCCCGGCCGCCCCACCCCTCACCGTGGGCCGCGGGCGTCACCTGCCACCCGGCCGCGCGGGCGACAGCGGCCCGACCAGCCCCGCGCAGCCCCCGGCGGTTACCCGCCCGGTGACCTTGGGCAGACACGGCTCCTCCCGGGTCCACGCACCAGGGCTGAGGCG